TATATGTGTGTGTGTGTGTGTGAGAGAGAGTTAGAGGAGAGAGTGAGGAAAGAGAGCACTAATTCTTGTTTGTAAAAAAGTAAGGTTCAAAAATGGGATTGATAGTTGGGAGCCACGGAATCCAAAACAATTAAAATCCTTTTAATATACAAAAATTGTCAAACAAATGTCTGAAAATGCGACACCGATATGCGAAGGGACATTGCAGTAAAGAAAGATGCCGTTCAAAATTAGCAAGAAAGAGGAAAATTTCGTTTGTATCAAAGAAAAAATGTACTGAACCCTTATGTAAAGACCGACCTCCTATTTGGTAGTTAATATAGGACAATCTGCTCACAGCGGAAGAAGAGACTTGAAGCAACAGAAATGACGTCCTATAAAATGATGCTGAGGATACCATGGCCTGAACATTCAAGCAACGACTTTGTTTTAGGGAAAATGAAAACAAGTACGAAACATTTATTTAAAACAAGGAAACAGATTAAATTTCTGGGGCCTATAATAAGGAAACAAAGCTAGGCAATTTCGATACTCACAAAACATATGAAGGCATAATGAACAGAGGAAAGCTTCGAATAAAATACCTAACGAGCTTGTGGAACAGGGATTAGGAGAGATAGTAAAAATACAAAATTTAGTAAGAGCTACAAAAGGACAGCTCATTTTGAAGAGGTATGATCGCCCACGCCCCGAAATTACACGGGATATTAAAGAAGAAAATATACAAAGACAACAGGAATTTGCTAAGCAAAATGTTCGGAAAACATGATGAGAAGGCATGCAGTTGTTTTTCCTATACACAAGAAAGTCAGGAAATTAAAATTAAAAGAAAATATTCAGTAGACCCTGCCTCTCTTTATTAAACAGTGTACCGGCTGTAACAGCAAAATTGTCCAAATCGTGTAACAGCAAAATTGTCCAATTGTTAGATTGAATCTTTGTATCTTATAAAAGATTAAAGGTTTATATTGGAGTTTTCCGGGGTTTTTATAACATATATTGGGTTCTACTTTGAGCAATAAGAATTTATAATTACTCTCCAAGCTTAACAGAAATATATATATATATATATATATATATATATATATATATATATATATATATATATATATATATTATTTCTTGATCATTTTCCAACTTATTCAAGATGGTCTTCGCCCTCTCTACACTTATAAATTTCTGTCCTGAAGTAAAAAGGTGCCCCACAAGTTTCACGTACGATTTCATTTTCAAATATTTTTTACAGCTCTTTGAACTGTCATAGCAGAAACTCCTCTCTCACTTGCCAAACGTCATGGATTGAGTTGGATCTTTTCTAATTGATCTCTTTAGATCTAAGTTGAACTAATGATTGTTCTTCCTTTTGAGACTTCCTGATCCAGTTTCCTCTGTACTCTCCCTTCTTTTTTAAACTTATTTACAATTCTCTTGATGGTTCTTGAATGGACAGAACATGAAATCCAGCGTATGAATGATGATAGCATTACTGAAGGCCTGGATTATCTTTTTCCTCTAACAATTGCTCATTTGGAAAAACGGGTGAGCTGACACAAAAGGGTTTTAACCTGTTCTCTTTCTAGCTGAGTAACTGAAAGAGTTTTTCTGTGATTCTTACGACAAATGGTATCAAGATGGTTAAACGTCTTATCTGAAAATCTGGAAAAAATTCAACTAGTTTATTTTCTTTCTTAGATATTAAATAAGTTGTAGGCTGGACGATATGGACAATTTCGCTGTTACACGATTTATTTTCCGTCAGAGTATTCTACAAATCCTATTAAAGAGACTTTACGCTACGGAAAGTCTACTCAAGTACGAATAGCAACTAAAAATAACATTTTAAAGTGATAAGAATCTGGCCTACTGATTAAAAAAGTCATATATATATATATATATATATATATATATATATATATAAGGAAATCTGCTGAATTCGCTCAATTGATTTCCTAACAATATATACATGAGATAAAATATTATATATATATATATATATATATATATATATATATATATATATATATATATATATATTTATCTTATGTATATTTTATCTTCTTATATGTGTTGATCACTTTTTTAAATACTGCTGTTTTCTGGTCTAATTCTGGCTCTGATCGTTATCTTTTTTATTATTATCATGATAGATAGATAGATAGATAGATATGAACAGTCTGGGATAGATAGATAGATAGATAGATAGATAGATGAGATAGATAGATAGAATACCAAACAACCTTAGATAGATAGATAGATAGATAGATAGATAGATAGATAGATAAGACCAAAAATGCAAACAACCTTAGATAGATAGATAGATAGATAGATAGATAGATAGATAGATACCAAACAACCTTAGATAGATAGATAGATAGATAGATAGATAGATAGATAGATAGATAGATACCAAACAACCTTAGATAGATAGATAGATAGATAGATAGATAGATAGATAGATAGATAGATATGGAACAATCTTAGATAGATAGATAGATAGATA